TTCTTCTCAATTGCTTCCTGGGACACGGATGTTCGCTTGTATTGGCAAGTTTCTATCCTTCTACCCAGAACCTCTCGCGATCATCCATTGGCTGTTATACCAGAACGCAATGGTGACGGTTGGAACCTTCACCTGCGAAAGTAGGCCTTAGTAGTCTTTTTTCCTATATCATAAATTTTCCATTTGTTTTAAAAAGAAGCTTTTATTCGCAGGGACAATTAAATATAAAGCGGAACATATTGTTTCATTTTCAGTTATATATTGAGTGTCCCTAAATGTATGACACATTCATCTTTAGTATGGCATTTTTTATTCGATATTATGTTGTTGAATTATATTTTTAAAACGGATTAATGAACAGCTTCTGGAAGTAAAAACTCGGTTGGCGTGTGCAATTTGCGTTTTTTTTTTGATGACGCAAAAAAATATAGTAATTTAAATAGGCTTATATTTTTGTGCGCCAATAAAACTGGCATTTCTTGAAATACAATACTAATTAAAGAAGCTCAGACGTATAATTCATGCATTGGTGCAAAAATTCGCTCAACTTTCTATTCCCACGAACGATGATCAAAACTTGAAGTCTATCAAAGTCGGCGGCTCGATGTAAGGACGCTAACTGCAACCCTTATACGAGAAGCTATGACGAAAATCCAGTTTACTAGACGTTTTCAAAATAAGAAACCTGTCCGCTGAAACAAAGCAGTATTCAATATTCTTGGATGCATTTAAAAGTCTCTAGATTTTGAACCCGTCCCACAGAGGTTGCTAGCTTCTTTTAGGATCTGCTGACGCATCCTTCGCGAACAAAAATAGCGCCATCCTAAGCAGTATCAAGCCCATTACTAACAATAGCGGCCACCATCCGGTGGAAGCAAGCGGTCAATAATTACGAAATACTAATATTTTGCCATAAATTTTGGCAACTCAGATGTCTATTATTATTCATCACGATCTTAAGAGCGAAAAACGATAATATCTTCATCTATGGTTAATTTTGGGACAAGCGTCAAGAGCTCATAGACTTTGTTGGCATCGCAACCACAGAAGAGGGAAAAGGAATCCGTTTGGATGTCGCCGGTAATAAAAATTACCTCAGATGACGGCAGACAATCCTCCATCGCATAGAATTCAATCGTTTTCGTTTCAACGTTGACGTCTGTTGTTGCCTGGAAAAGTTGTTTTGAAAATAACAGATAACGGTAAAAATGCAGATGTATGAAAACAGCGAGAAAGGCATTGGTGTATGAGGGATTGGCAGAAATAAATGGGGTGATCGAAAATTACACAATGACAGTTCAAGTACCTTGCCAGTGCGGTGATTGATCATATCCCAGAGTGGAATTAAACAGAGTATTTCTTTCTCCGGGGAGACGGGGTCCGGTAACCGGTTATTTCTGCTCATCACGACCGATACAGCCCAGCTGGAAAACGAAAAAATTGGTTTGTGGGTAGGAGATATATCTGGGCTGCCAACCACTAACTGCAACTTGTGTTTCAAACCAGCTATTTCGCCGGCAACTGAAGTAAACAGTAAAAGGCTCAAGATGGAGTCCGAGAAAGCCGTCTGGAGATTTTAAACATGCAACAGTTATCCAAATTTCCTGTAATTTTCCTTGTGTCATCCTCCTGCAGTCCGCGCTGCCGCTTGAGGTAATTGTTTCCGCTTTTGTTAATGAGGATGTTGCCGTTCGAAGAAGCCCTCCGTCTTTACGTCTGTTCAGTGATGCTCTCAAGCCAAATCACCAAGGGGAAATTTCAGGTTTTTAAAGCCTTGCTCTGATAAATTCCTTTTTTATTTCCCTAACTGTACTTAGAGGGTGACTGTCTATGGTGGTCGGCGTTTCTTCTGAGACAAAACTTCGACATGGAGCCCGGAGGAGTTGGCCCTCCACTAGTGCTATGCAAAAGAAAAACGCTAGCGGAGAAAAACCCTGAAGTCAATTGTCTTAGAACAATCGTGGGTTGCATCACAC